GTGCGGGTAGGTACGGGGGCCTCCGGGGCCGGGCTGTGCTGGGCATGGCTCGGTGCTCCCGAGAGGGGGGTTTGGCCACATCCTCCAGCGAGGATCGCCTTGCCCCGCTTTTCCCTGGGAAAGGAAACCCCCTCAGCTGTGTCTGCGTGCGTCCGTGTTTGTGTGTGAGCGTGTTGTGGGTAGAAAGCTGCATATATGTGCTTGTGTATATAAATACGTTTATGTAGATGCGGGTGGACACGAGGGAGGCCGAGGACAGCCCAGCAGGAGCCCAGGGAGGGCCTGTGCACCGGGCACGGCTGCAGGGGCCCATCCCAAGGGTAGAGGGGATGTTAGGTCGTGCACGGGATGAAGCACCAGGGGTTCCTTCTCCTCTCTGTGTTTCCCGAAGCTAGGGAGAGGTGAAACTCATTCTGCTGTGATGAAAATTACCCCTGCGCATGCGCTTCTTACAGATGTGCCTGTTGAGCAATGTGGTCCAGGGCCCTACAATCAGCCAGCATGAAGGACCTGTGATGAGTTTCAAATTTGGACCATCTTGGATTATCTGAAGGACTCTGTGTATGAGATAGCTACACCCTCCTGAGCTTCCCTCTGTCCCATCATGACACCTTGCACTTCTGGTTAAATCTGTTGTTCAGGTACTGTTAAAAGATGTCCAGGTGTTGCAAGATGAAAACCCATAATCCAGAAAAGGAACCAATCAGTATTGAAGCTGAGTGCTTTTTGGAACAAAGTCCATTTAAATTCTCTCTGATCTGAAATCTGTAGGTCTCCAGGCAGAACAGATGATTACATCTCTTGAAGTCCTCCATCTTCAGTACTTAGCATTCATGTCACTGTCCCCTTCATGGCTGATGCCAGAAAAAGTGTCTCCCTATAGAGCCACATGTCATTTTGGAATGTGATTTCACTCCATGTTACAATCTAGTAGGCTTCTAAATGTCTAGAAGGGAGTGAAGGATTTTCCAAGTTTCAGACTTATCTCCACACTGACTCTAGCTCTCAGCTTGTAGCATGGGAAGGTGGACAGATCTCTTTATAAGCAGTGACCCTTAAGCTGTTCACAGGTAGGACAGCTCTGCTTGAATGGGTCAGCCTGTCTTGGCCTTTTCAGCTGGCCTAACTTTATTTATAATGACAATTCCAGAATGAGTGGAGCAGGGAGATGGGATCTTTTGCATATTATTTATGACCATCGTGTGGTTTCCTAGTGGCATTTTTGTGGTTTTAAAGGAGTGGGTTGCTTATGTAAAACAATATTGTCATGACCTGATTGTTCATAAAAAATGTTTATACATTTTCTTTTTTTTTTTTTCCTCTCAGTTTTGCTTTACACAGCAAGTTTCTTCAGAAGAGGAAGAAGGGATTTCCTTTCCAGAGGGCATGTGTTGATTCACGTGTCACTTGGAGAGTTGTCCCCAAGCTCCTGATCAGAACATGTCCTCACACAGCCACATAAAGCAGCAAGGAATCTGACTGGCTCCTGCCCTGCCTGGAGACCAGTGTACGTGGGCTTCCATTTGCCAGCTGGAAGTTGTTTCTTTGCAAGAGTACTAAGAAACAAGCCCGAGGGGCTCTTTCAGAGATGATTTATGCCAGCCATGTCACTGGCTGAATGGGTCTCCCAACCCTCTGACTCTGTGGGCCTTTGTTAGTCACACTGGGAGCTGGTGACCCGCAACGTTCATGTTGAGCGTGTTGTGTTTTAAGGTTCTGAGGAAAATGCAGAGACGGCACAGCAGCAACACGGACAGTGCTCCTCCTGAAAGGTACATCTCTTCCCTTCTTTTGGTACATCTCTTTCCTTCATTTCTCCTCCATTTTCCCCTCCAGAGGGGAATGTTCTGATTTAAGTAAATGGTGTGTTGTGGAAGATGAAAGCTCAAAAGTGAGAAAAGCATATACTTCCTGTGCATGTAGTGAGGCCAGGCTTTCTGCTCAAGCTTAGAGAGTTTAGAGACAGATTTACTTTGCTCCTTGATGTCAGTTACTGAATCCTACCACCTCCATTGTCTCAAGTGTCATGATCACATGTGTATGGCACATATGGAGGCAGTTGGCTTATTATAGGCAGAGTGTTTTGGAGCTCTAGAAGAGCGATTCATGGCAGAGTCCTGAGGGGATCCTGAGTGCTAGCAATCTGAAGGGGTCAATCTGTATGAGCAGATGCTATTTATACTTCTGTTACTAAGGTGTTAAAAAGTTTGCTTATAGGGTCTGAAGCTTCCAACTATTATGACTTATTATTTCATAAAGATCTTGGGTCATCCTTTACACCTGTATCTACCTCTGTATCTGCATTCTACATCCAGAATCTCTATCTAGCTTCATGTATGTGAATATTTAGAAGTAGAATACCTCTAATGCACTTCTGCAATTATAATATCAGCAAGGGAGCTTTGCCACTGTTGTTGTTCTGGTACTAAATATTCCCCCTGCACTTTCCTACAATTAGAGCTTGACTTTTTTTTTTTTTTTTTTAAAGAAGAAACTAATCTAATTACTCTAAGATAAAGATGGAGCTAACAAATTTAATTGCTCTGGCTGAGCTGAGATTTTAAGAAAGATCATTATCACAGGCAGTCACTAAGTATTTCTTAGTGATTTTGCAGGTGGAGGTGAAGCTTGATGTCATGCTCATTCCTAGGATGGTACTATCCCTAATTTCAGGAGAAAAGGAAGCAATCTTTAGCTTTTTCTGTGTAATGCTGCCCAAACCTCAGTGCAGTCTTGGGTTTTGTATCAGCAGGCAAGCCTGGGCCTCGAGAGACACATAAGGTGTTGTGGGGGTCCTCTCACCTGCAGTGTAGAGCTCTTCTGAGTCTGTACAAACTTTTAAGGCACTTTGGGATCTGTTTAAATGGTAAAAAATATGTGTCTATTATTGACTGAAAAAATAGGAAGAATAATATGAGTCAGTTTTTATGCTTCTGTTTTTTGACAGGGTAAATATGTACTGTCAGTAACACAGGCTGAAGGTTTTCTAACTGTAAAATGAAATGCTGTTGCTACTGGCCTTCACTTCTGTTAACTTCAGCAGACTCACAATTCCATCCTTGTTTGTTTTAAAATATTTCCCTGATTAATCCCTTCC